ATTTCACTGCTTGTCCAAGCAGCTTCAGAAGCTGCTTGGACAAGCAGTGAAACGTATCAAACTAAAAGAAAAGAAGTCCAGTTGCCATGACTCAACCTCCAGATCATAACTTGTGTTAAAGGAGATGCTGCAAACCTACTGCTGGGGGAGAATTAAGGCAAGCAGGTGGGAGAACAATACAAATGCCCAGGTTTAGCAGTTAGTTTCTGCCTGGAACTAACTTGGGTGAAAAAGAGTTGCCAAATGTAGGATACCTTTTTGCCCAGGCATAACCCAAGTCTTAACTTACTTCCTCAACATCCAGTTGGGGGGGGGGGTCCTTTTAAAATTGGTACAGCATTAGAAATGAAGGCTATAATTCTGCCATGATTTATCCTAACTCCACAACATGTTTCCAGCACTGAGTGCTAGTAGCTGTGTTACAGTAGAGATTATTTTAGATTTATTTATTTATCATATTTATATAGCCGCCTATCTCACACAAAGTGACTCTGGGAGGTATACAACAATTAATGCTGTTATTAGCCTTAGACAATGAGAAAGTGGCAATCCTTACTTACTGAAGAGCGTAAAAGTGAAATAGAAGCAGCTGTGCCCCACCCAGCTCAGTATCGTTGTCCCTGACAGGCAGAGCTCTTCAGATTTTGGATAAGAATCTTTCTCGGCTTTCTCTTGAGGTTAAACCTGAGATTTTCTGCATGCTGGTGCTCTTTGAGTTTTGACCCTTTCATAGATGACAGGAACATGGGCCGAAACCCTTGGTCTATCTAGCCTTGTTTAATAAAAGCAGCTATTAGCTGTGGTCACTAAATGGAGCCTCCATGTTCAGGGATAGTGAGTTTCAGCTGTTTCACTATCAGTTGAACTCTGATGGAGGAGGTTATTGTCTTCCTGCTCTGCCTTGGCAAAAGGTAGAACTATTAGAATATCAATTTGACATGTTGGTTGCAGGTTCCATCCTTGGTAGGTCTAGGTAGAGCTAAAAAATGCCTTGCCTGAAATCCTTGAGACTTGCTGCTAGTTTGTATAAGGCAAAGCAGATAATGTTTTGTCAGAATTGTATTTTTTAAAAAACAGTTCCTTAAAATCTCTTTGTGGGTACCCTTATGTGATAATGCTGAAGGCAAGTAGATGTCACTATGGGGTTTAATTTTTTTTTTAGCCCTGCCTCTCTTTCTTCAAAAAAATGATCCATTACTAGTGAAATAGAAAGAGTGAAGTCTCCTTCAGGTTAAGCTCAACTCCTGGTGTCCACCAACATGTTCATGTAGTTTCTTTGGCAGTAGCATGGGAGTGGTTTGGCACTGGCTTCTTCTGATTGTTTTCGTCAACTTCTCAATCTAACTCTGGGGTTTTCTAGTAGTTTCCCATCTAGGTACTGACAGGTCTGATCTTGCTTAGCTTTTGAGATCAGCCAAAATCAGGCTTTCATTCGATTCAAAGCTTCATGCATCAGTTTTAGTTCTTCTAAAACATTTGCAACATTGTTAGTGGACTCAATAACAACCTTGAGAAGCTTTGGAATTCACAGAGGAAGGGCCATGGGAACCCTCTGTGGCTTAGCCGGTTGTTTTCCTATGGGATAGATAATATTAGAACTAAATGGGCCAAGAATCTGACCTTGCAAGGGTAGTTTCCTGGTAGTCTTGAAGCAAACAAGAAGAGTAAGAAGAGAAAAACGTTTATTCTATCTATATAACCTCAATAGAAAATTCATTACACCTTCATTCCAACCAGAAGCTACATTCTTGGATTACAATCATATCACACGCATTCTTAAATCTGTTCCTTCCTCATTCTACTCATTTGTTGTTTTAGAAGTGCCTTTGAACAGCAAATCAGTCCTGGCCTCCTCTTCTCCACTGCCCCAATCCCTTGCATGGCTCTTTGAAGGAAACCACTAAACCACAGCCTTTTCAAATATGGTTCACATGCCCTGACCTGTTATTGATGCTTGCCATCCTTGTTGCTATTACTGCCTCCTTCATTTTTTTATATATTGGCTCTTGAAAACAGCCACCTTCACTTTGATGTAGAAGTGCATTGGATTTTTCGAGCCACCTTCTTCCTGACTGACTGGTATCTCTTCAATCAATGTGCCTTAGCTTGTTCTGCTTTACTTACTTAGCATTGTCTCTCATTTGTATTTTTGAAACTTCATAGCAATTATTGAAACATACATCATTAGGCCTACAAAAGGACTATACAGCCCAGTAGACACAGCTCTGTTTTGCCAAGACACATTCCAGAAAGGCAAAGAGATAGAGAGCAAATAAGTTTAACTGAATTCCTGTTGGGCATTAGAGGCTGCCATATGCTCCAATTATGCAGGAAAATCTGTAGTTTCTTTTATCCATTTGCCTCATAAATCATTGGTTGTGTTTGCACAACAGACTCAGCCACAAATTAGCCAGCTATTGCTGGCAAACCCAGCCTGAGTGATTACTCTGTGCTTCAGTATGTTATCTAAATCTTTAAAAATGGGATAATTTAGTTAGACCATGGCTTAATTAATAATGGGTTAGTGTGTTGGCAAACCCAGCCCTTGTTTTGCCTCCTCTCCTATTCTAGAAAAGTTTCCTTTTGGTTGTTACTGTTGGTTGGCTAAAGCTGTTCATTGCTGCTATTTCAGTTTCTGCTTCCTCAGATGATGATCCTTTGGAAGTGAGGTTTGGATGTCACTTGCCTCTGCATGTAAATTAAAGCTAAGTTGGAGTTTTGAACTCTTCAGCTCAAATTTTAAAGAGGGTCAAGTATTTATATGGGTGTGGAAGAGAGAAAGGATTCTACTGACTTGCCTTCATAGCAATGGCTGTTGATCATCATTATTTGCCAAAACACTCTTGAAGCAAAACTATTTTGACACATGGTGTTATTCTGCTTGTGACAAAATAAACTGTTTTCTAGGGGTGGCATTTTCTCCTAAGGCTACCTCTGGCCCATAAGAAATGCTGAGGGTTATAACAGTATTACCAAAGGAAACAAACAACAATTATATCTTTTAATTATATGTCCTGCTTCTACCTCTTGTTTTAAATTGCTTTCTTTTAGTGAATTTGTGGTATCAGATTGAAAGTGGCTTAAATGGCTATTCTAGTTTGGCAGTCTTAAATTAGCTGATTTTAATTGCATTGTATGTTTAGTTTATACATGAACCATCTTAGTAGGGCTTTTTGCCCAGAAAATTAATGCAGAAATACTGATAATAGTAACTCATAATAAGCAAGCAAACCAACAATTTAAGCTTGGACACTAGGTGATGACTAACACCTCCTGTTCATTTCACTCCTCTTGCCATTCTTTCCTTCTGCTGAATGTGCTTTGTGAAGATGATCAGCTGCCTTCATAAATATTAAAGAATGTGGGAACGCAGAAACTCAAGCTACAAACCTTTATGTGGCACTAATATTGGTGTTATATCAGGGAGTTGGATGAGATGACCTTGGAGGTTCTAAATCTATTAATCTATATCCTTGGAAAAGCTGTATGATATGATCCAGCTGATGGTATAAACTGATCCTATCTGTTTGCGAGGCTGAATGTGCTATGAATCATTCTGTTTCATTTACAGTGGTTCTGCCTTGCAAAATCTATGTCCTACCCTTCAAATATTTGCTTCTGCTCTGAATTAGCAATTTGTCCTTGCTGTTTATCTATTTCTTTGACTTACACGTTTTTAAGTCATTTTCCTTTTTAAATAGAACTGGATAGATATGTCTTAGAAACTT